CTCTTCATGGGAAGTGGTTATGGAGATATCTCGTGGAGGAGGGGAGGCTGTGGAGGAGGGTTGTGCAAGCGAGGTTGGGAGACTGGGAAAAGGAGAGGGGTTGGAGGGGTAGACTCAAACCGCATGGGAGGAGTTTTTGGAAGAAACTTAGGGATGACAGCCATGTATTCAAGGGCTGTGTGGGTTGGCAGCTTGGTAATGGTGAGGATATTAGTTTTTAGGAGGATGAATGGATGGGAAGTTTTAAACTTAAAGATCGTTTTAAAAGAATTTTTGATATTGCTAGCGATAAGGAGGCGAGGGTGAAGGACATGTATGAAATTGTGGGTGAAGGGAAGGCTTGGAATGTGAAAGTTACTAGAAACCTGCAGGATTGGGAAATCAATGAATATTGCAACCTGCCTTTGGTTTTGGGCAGCATGAAGGTGAAAGAAACAAGGTACAAAAGAGTGTGGAAGCCTGATGAGAAAAATGGTTTTTCTGTGAAATCGATGTACAATTTTCTAGGCACAAATGATAGAAATATTATCATTTCAGCACCATTTAAACAAATTTGGAAAAATGGGGCCCCTCCTAGGATGGCTTTTTTTACGTGGGAAGCCGCTAAAGAATGCATTTTGACCATTGATATGCTGAAAAGAAGAGGTAATACCATGGTTAACAGTTGCTACCTTTGCAAATCGTGTGAGGAGACGTACAACCATCTACTTTTGTGGTGCCCGACGACCTATAACATCTGGAAATCTGTTTTGGGTTTGCTGGGATTAAGTTGGGTAATGGCTGAAAATGTGAGTAAAGAGTTGTGGGCTTGAACAGGTTATTGTAAAAAGAAAAAACATTTGTTCCTTATTCCACTAATTATTTCTTGGGTTATGTGGAAGGAAAGAAATGCGAGAGCTTTTGAGCGCATCGAGACTAATATGACAAACATTAAAATAAGGTGGATCTATACTTTTGGTTCTATTTTGTTAAATCATGACATTAAAGATTGAGATGATTTTCGATAGGTCATGGACCACTTAATAGACTTGTAATCTATGCTTTGTCCATTGGCGGTACCCCCTTGGTATCTTTGTGAATAATATTACTTTTATATTTAAAAAAAAAACTTATGCTGCCTTGACTCAATTTCTTCATTGTATTTTGACAAGTGCAATAATCTTTGTATAACTTCTCACACTTCTTTATGCAAGTCATTTTCTAAAACTAGTCTTTTTGGTTGTAAATGTATACAAGTTGGATACTGCACCTGTACAGTGTATAAATGTTCTTGAATTTTTAGGACAAGCGTGCAAAGGTCTCTGTTATGCTGTCCGTATAAATGTTCATGATAGATAAAATGTTATTTCTTTTGCATTTCCTTTTACAGAGTAAAGCCAAGGCAGAAAAGAATCAAGCAATGGAGCACGCGATGAGTGAGAATTCATGCCAGTTGTGTGCAGTTGAGAAGCTTACTTTTGAACCACCTCCTATATATTGTTCGCCATGTGGTGCTCGCATTAAGCGAAATGCAATGTACTACACAATGGGAGCAGGTGACACAAGGCACTATTTCTGTATTCCCTGCTACAATGAGGCTCGTGGCGATACTATAGTTGTTGATGGGACAGCCATACTAAAGGCAAGGCTTGAGAAAAAGAAAAATGATGAAGAGACTGAAGAATGGGTATGTTTGTTACTGTATATTGATGACATCTTGATTTTCTTCTCTTATATGATGGTCGTAAATGGTTGATTTTTTCTTTACTTGAACGATTGCCTACAGTGGGTTCAATGTGACAAGTGTGAAGCTTGGCAGCATCAGATTTGTGCTTTGTTTAATGTCGAAGGAATGATGGTGGGCAAGCTGAATATACTTGCCCTAATTGTTATATAGCAGAGATTGAACAAGGAGAGAGGAAGCCTTTACCGCAGAGTGCTGTTCTTGGGGCCAAAGATTTGCCTAGAACAATTCTCAGTGACCATATAGAGCAGCGGTTATTTAGGAGACTGAAGCAAGAAAGACAAGAGAGGGCTAGAATTCAGGGGAAAAGTTATGAAGAGGTAATTTATAAAATATTTTGACCTTATACAGGTCTTATGGGCCAATAGCCTATTGAATGCAGTTTATAATTACTCTGTTTATACCTCTATTCAAGTTTGAATCTTGGGATATGCTGTCAGTATTACTTAATCTTTTTCCCTTTTATTGATTTTGCCAGGTTCCTGGTGCTGAGGCACTTGTAATCAGAGTTGTTTCTTCTGTTGACAAAAAGTTGGAAGTGAAGCAGCGGTTTCTTGAAATTTTTCGAGAAGACAATTACCCTACTGAATTCCCTTACAAGTCTAAGGTATGGATGAAGTATGCAACTTTCGTTTGTTGTTCATACTGATCTTTGTAAATATCTTTATTGATCATGGTGGTTTTTTCCCTTCCAGGTCATTTTGTTGTTTCAGAAGATTGAAGGCGTGGAAGTGTGTCTTTTTGGCATGTATGTTCAAGAATTTGGATCAGAATGTCAGTTTCCAAATCAGCGACGTGTTTACCTTTCATATCTGGATTCTGTGAAGTACTTCAGACCTGAAATTAAAGCAGTGACTGGAGAGGCTCTCCGTACATTCGTTTACCATGAAATTCTGGTAATGTTTATTGCTTATTCATTCATCTGCTTGTATGGCCCTGTCTAAAAAAGGGTGATACTGCCTGTTGTGGTTGGTGCAGAATGAGATTTTCCGCGATCATGTTACTTTCTTTGTTACTTATGGGACAAATTGGTTTTCTTTGCTTTTTTGTGTTCCAAGGCTCCTGGGTGTTTAGAGATGTATCTTGGGCTAAGTTGCAGAGGGAGTGGGATGTTGTATTGGCTTGATCATTATATAGTTCTTAACTTTTTCTTTTGTTAATTTAGTAGGATTCCTTATCCCCTGCTATTGTACCTTTTTCTCCTCTATATAGTAATATTTCTTTTCCATAATAAAAGCGATATTGTTGATTGTTTGATTTGATATTCTGTCCAGATCGGTTACCTTGAATACTGCAAGAAACGTGGTTTTACGAGTTGCTATATATGGGCTTGTCCTCCATTAAAGGGTGAAGATTACATTTTATATTGTCATCCAGAAATTCAGAAGACACCGAAATCTGATAAACTAAGGGAATGGTAGGCATGATAACCTATGACAAACTTTAATTGTTGTTTAAATACTTTGATTAAGTTCTGCTTTTCTCTAACCTATTCTTCTGCATGTACAAAATTCCTGTTTCAGGTACTTGTCAATGTTAAGGAAAGCTGGGAAGGAGAACATTGTAGTTGATCTCACTAATTTATATGACCATTTCTTTGTGCAAACTGGCGAATGCAGAGCAAAGGTAACGGCAGCAAGGTTACCATATTTTGATGGTGACTACTGGCCAGGTGCTGCTGAAGACCTTATTAATCAGCTTAATCAAGAAGAAGATGGCAGAAAGCAGAACAAGAAAGGAACAACCAAGAAGACCATTACAAAAAGGGCTCTAAAAGCATCGGGCCAATCTGATCTTTCTGGCAATGCATCGAAGGACCTGTTGCTAATGCACAAGGTAAATTTTCCTTCCATCTTCTGCTACTATTTTCCCTGTCAATTGATTGTCTCTAATCATAATCTTTACAATTATATCATCAGATATTTTTGGGTAATATCTTTGATATATTTAGTTTGTGATTGCAATAACTGCTTATTTCTTTATACACTTTTTAACATAAAACTAAGTGTGTTATTAAATCATCAAAAGAGTGATCCTGTCTGCAAAGCCTACAGAATCTATTGTACTCAAAAAGAACATCGAAAAGATCTAGGAGTTCCCTCATTTTCTATGGGCTTGGTGGAAATCCATATCCACAATGCGAAATGTCCTTAACCTGGTCAATGGTCTCTTCCCCATAAAAAATGATCCCATCTCCCTACGCACGGGCTAAAATTTGGAGGGGAATTAGGGTACTTACTGGCTTCTTTGTGCACTTCTAGAAATTGGATATTTATTCATCTACCATTTGTTCTCTCAATAAATTGCTTTTCATTGTAATTATTACATTATTGTCACGAGAGAATGTTTTTCCTCTGAATGTTTCTGTGTCCTTTGTAGCTTTTTGAAATTATTACAATTAATTGCGCTTCTAAGAATTGAAAGTTTCTCTGTTTACCATTTTCTCTTCATCAACTGCCTATAATTGTAACCTTTACTATCATTATTGATTTTCTTAAATAATTTTTCGTTTAATCTGCAGATTTTAGATGATTATGGTTATCTCTTCCTGCACTGAATAATTGGAAGTTTATTTATTTACCATTTAATTTTTTTTATTTGAATATTTTTAGTATGCTCTGCAGATATTTTGACTGCTAGTGGTTTTTTTCTCTGACTTTTAA